CACACACACACACACACACACACACACACACACACACACAGGAGGGAAGGGGGGATTGAAACAGGCCAGGTCTGGCAGAGCACACCTTTAATCCCAGCACCGAAGAGGCAGAGCCAGGTGGATCTCTCTCAGTTTGTGTCCAGACTGGTCTACATAGTGAGCTCCAGGCAAGCCAGGAACATATAATAAGACCCTATCTTCCAAAATAAAAGTATTTAGATAAAAAATTAATAAAAAAAAAACAGGAGCTGGTGAGGTGTCTCAGTGGGTAAAGGCACGTACCATTACGCCTGATGGCCTTAGTTCAGTCCTTAGAACTCACACAGGATAAAGTAAGAACCGACTTTCTTTTTCATTCTGCTCTCACATATTACATCCTGATTGAAGCCTCCCCTCCCTCTATTCCTCCTAGTCCCCCCCACATCCCCTCCCCTTTCCCCGACTCCCCCCATCCCTCCACAGAAAAGAGCAGGCCTCCCAGGGACATCCATCAAACATGGCACCTGATACAATTAGGCCAGACACAAACCCTCTCATCAAGGCTGGGTGTGGCAATCCACCCAGGAGGAAAAAGGTTCCAAAAACAAGCAAGAGAACCAGAGACACCCCCACTTCTACTGTCAGGAGCTCCCCCCCAAAAAAAGACCAAGCCAACAGCCATAACATACATACAGAGGACCTAGTGCCGACTCGTGCAGGCTCCATGATTGCTGCCACAATCTCTGTGAGCCCTATGTTCTCCTGGTGTGCCCCCCAATTCCTTCTTCCCTAACTTCAGTGGGGTTCCCTGAGTTCCGAGGGGAGGGACCTGATGGAGACTTACAACCAGGGCTCTCTCTCTCTACCTAGTGTTTAGTTGTATGTGAACCCATCAGCTGCCAAAGGCATCCTCTCTAGTGATGGCTGGACTAAGCACCAATCTATGAGTTTGGCAGAACATCATTAGGAATTATTTCAGTGGTTTTTGTTTTTGTTTTTGTTTTTGTTTTTTGCCAGTCATGTTTGGTTCTAGCCTAGATCTCTGGGATGTTCTGCCTCTGGTTCCTGGTCATCCAGGCAGTGTCAAACATGGTTTCCCTCTAGTGATGGGAGCCACAAATTAGACCCGTCACTCCCACAATTTCTGTGCCATTGTCCCAGCATACCTTGCAGGCAGGATATACATAGGTGGAAGGTTTTGTGGTTGGGTTGGTGCCCCAGTCCCACCACTGAAAGCCTTGCCTGGTTACAGAAGATGGCTGGCTCAGGCTCTGTACCATCCATTACTAGGAGTCCTCACTATGGTCACCCCCATTGCACTGGGTTTCTTCCTCACCCCTGAAATACTCCCCAGTTGCACCCATCTCTCCCAGTACCCTCCATTTCCAGATACCTGATCCCTTCTGTTCCCATCCCCACCCACCTCCAGTTTGCTCACAAAATCAATTTCCCCTTCCCAGGGAGATCAATGTGCCCCACCCCCACCTCTCCCACCTTGAGCCTTCCGTGTTACTTAGCCTCCCTGGATCTGTGGATTGTAGCATCATGATTATCATTTATTTAACAGCTAATATCCACTTATAAGTGAGAACACACCGTGTTTATCTTCCTGGGTTATCTGTCTGAGTTACCTCACTCAGGATGATTTTTCTAGTTCCACTCATTTGCCTGCAAATTTCAAGATGTTATTTTTTTTAACAGTGTGTAATACTCCAGTGTGTAAATGTACCACATTTTCTTTATCCATTCTTCAGTTGAGGGACATCTAGGTTGTTTCCAGTTCCTGGCTACTGTGAATAAAGCTTCTATGAACACAGTTGAGCAAGTGTCCTTGTGGTATGGTAGCACATCCATTGAGATGAACTCTCAATTTCCCGAGAAACCATCATATTGATTTCCATAGTGGCTATAAAATTTGCACTCCCACCAGCAATGGAGGAGTGTGCCCTTTGCTCCACATCCTCGCCAGTATGAGCTGTCAATTGTGCCTTTGTGTCTTTTGACAGGTGTAAGATGGAATCTCAAAGTCATTTTGATTTTCATTTCCTCAATGGCTAAGAATGTTTAACATTTCTTTAAGTGCTTTCTCAGCCATTTGAGATTCCTCTATTGAGAACTCTGTTTTGATCTGTACCCCATTTTTCAATTGGGTTATTTGGTTTGTTGATGTCTGGTTTCTTGAGTTCCTTATATATTTTGGATACTAGCCCTCAGTCATATGTGGAGTTGCTGAAAATCTATTTTCCTATTCTGTAGGCTGCTGTTTTGTCACATTGATGGTGTCCTTTGCCTTACTGAAGCTTTTCAGTTTCATGAGGTCCCAACACTAAGTGTAGATCTTAGTGCCTATGCTGCTGGTGCTCTGTTGAGGAAGCTGTCTCCTGTGCCAGTGCCCTCAAGGCTTCCCCACATTCTCTTCTATCAGGCTCAGGGTATCTGGTTTTATGTCGAGGTCTTTGATCCACTTGGACTTCAGTTTTGTCCAGGATGACAGATATGGATCTATTCGCATTCTTCTATATACCAACATCCAGTTAGATCAGCACCGTTTGATTTTCCCATTGCATATTTCTGGCTTCTTTATCAAAAATTAGGTGTCCATAAGTGTATGGATTTATGTCTGGATCTCCAATATGATTCCATTGATGAACCTGTCTGTTTTGATGCCAATACCATGTGGTTTTTATTACTATAGCTCCATAATAGCTTGAAATCAGGGATACTGATACTGCAGAAGTTCTATTATTGTTCAGGATTGGTTTAACTATCCTATGCTTTCTGGTTTTCCATATGAAGTGGAGAATTATTCTTTCAAGGTCTGTAAAGAATTGTGATGGGATTTTGATAGCATTGTGTTGAACCTGTGGATTGCTTTTGGTAAGATGACTATTTTAACTATGTTAATCCTACTGATTCAGGAGCATGGGGTCTTTCCATCTTCTGATATCTTCTTCAATTTCTTTCTTCAAATCCTTGAAGTATTTGTCAAATAAGTCTCTAGCTCACTTGGTCACCCACATACTGATGGCTATTGAGAAAGGTGTTGGTTCCCTGTTTTCTTTCTCACTCTATTTGTCATTTGTATAGAGGAGGACTACTGGTGTCATTTTGGGTTTTTTGTGCATGTTTGTAGTTAATCTTGTATCTAGCCACTTGACTGAAGGTGTTTATCAACTTTGGGAGTTCCCTGGTACAGTTTTGGGGTCACTTATGCATACTCTTATGTCATCTGCAAATAACAATACTTAGACTTCTTCCTTACTAACTTGTATCTCCTTGACTTATTTCAGGTGTCGTACTAATCTAGATAGAACCTTCAAGTACTATATTGAATAGATATGGAAAGAGTGGACAGTGTTGTCTTTTCCTGATTTTAGTGGGTCTGCTTTGAGTTTGTCTTCATTTAATCTGATGTTGGCTATTGGCTTGCTGTATAGTGCCTTTATTATATTTATGTATGATCCTTGTATCCCTGATCTCTCCAAGACTTTTTCATGAAAGTGTGCTGGATTTTATCAAAGGCTTTTTCAGCATCTAATGAGATGATCATGTGGTTTTTTGGTTTTTTCATTTGTTTGTTTCAGTTTGTTTATATGGTGGATTACATTGTTAGATTTTCATGTGCTAAACCATCACTGCATCTCTGGGATGAAGCCTACTTGATCATGATAATGTTCTTTTTATGTGTTCTTGGATTCATTTTGTGAGTATTTTATTATTTTTACATCTATGCTCATAAGGGAAATTGGTCTGTAATTCTTTTTCTTTACCAAATCTTTGTGTGGTTTGGGTATCAGGGTAACTATGGCCTCATAAAATGAATTTGGCAATGTTCTTTTTGTTTTTAGTTTGTGGAATAATTTGAGGAGTATTGGCATTAGCTCTTCTTTGAAAGTCCTTGTAGATCTCTGCACTAAAACCATCTGGCCCTGGACTTTTTGGGGAGACTTTTAATGTCTGTTTGTATAATTATAGGTCTATTTAAGTTGTTTATCTGATCTGATTTAACTTTGGTGAGTGCTATCTATTGAGAAAACTATCCATTTCTTTTAGATTTTCCAATTCTGTGGACAATGGGTTTTTAAAGTATGACCTAGTGATTCTTTGGATTTCTTTGGTGTCTGTTGTTATGTCCCCCTTTTCATTTCTGATTTTGTTATTTTGAATATTCTCTCTGTGACTTTTAGTTTGGAAAAGGGTTTGTCTATTTTGTTGATTTTCTAAAAAAAACCAACTCTTGGTTTCATTGATTCTTTGTATTGTTGTCTTTGTTTCTATTTTATTGATTGCAGCCCTCAGTTTGATTACTTCCTGCTGTCTACTCCTCTTGGCAGTACTTACTTCTTTTTGTTCTAGAGGTTTCAGGTTGCTGTTAAGTTGCCAGTATGAGATCTCTCTAATTTCTTTATGTAGGTACTTAGTGCTGTGAACTTTCCTCTTAGCACTGCTTTCATTGTGACCCATAAATTTGGGTATGTTGTGCATTCAT